TGTTAAAGGCTGCAGGACAGAGACCACACGTCTGCATTAAAAAAAAAATCTGCCTACTTCCTTACCCGGGAATAGAGCGAGGAACCCTCGCCCTCAGTGGAGGCAGCGGCCGCGGCCAGCTGCTGCCGGCTCAGCGCCACATGCATCGCCGTGTCGCCGTCCTCGTCCTCCACGTTGACGTCGGCGCCCTCGGCTACCAGCAGCTGCACCACGTCGCCATGGCCCTGTGTGACCGCCAACTGCAGCGGCGTCTGGTTGCGGTTGTTGCGGATGTTGACGTCACAGCGTCCCTGGGAGAGGACGGAAGTGAGAGAGGCGGACACGTTGGCCAGGGCTGTTAGCCCAGCTACGCAGCACACAAAAAACCTTAATGCCACGATTTATGGGCTCCCCCCCGCACAGTGTCACCAGCCTAGAAAACAATCATATTAATGCAGCCGCAGTCAGAGATTTACACACTCCTAATGGAGTGAGATGTTAGTTAGCTGAATTAACTTAAAGGGTCAGTCCACCCCAAAACTGAAAAAGATATGTTGTAGAGGGGTTTTAGTTCTATCTATCCAATTAGGTTGTTCAGCTGGGAATTGCCTAGCTTGGAGAATTCAAGTGTAGAAATGTCGGTCTTCTCTCAAATATAATGGGACTGAATGTCATTCTTTCTGTGATGATTAAAGCGTCAAAAAACATACATTTCAAAAATTCAAAGCAAAGTCTCTTACCAGAAATTATGAGCCAGTTACTCTAAATAATCTATAGGCTTTGTAGTGCGCTGTTTAATGCACAAACTACTTCTACCAAATTCCACACACCTGAAGACAAGAGCAAGGGCACCCCGGCGAGAAGAAATTATGTGTGACGTTTAACCTACAAACTTTTTGTGTCTCCCATGCATATTTAGCATAAAGGTCCCAGTTCCTGTTGTGCTGTGTAAAAGCGACATGAAAGCAGCCAGGAGCTACAAAAGTTCCAGGTCGAGACAGAACAGGGACTTGAAAACCAGGACCAGGTTCCAGAAATGAAGTGTGAAAGTGCCTCAGGGTAAAATGTCTCCCTTACCTCCTTGATAAGGATCTCAGCCACCTCCTTGTGGTTGTTGAGTGCAGCAAGGTGAAGAGCGGAGAAGCCGTCATCCTTTTTCACGTCCACTAGCTGGCGTGCACGAGCCAAAATCATCTCCGTCGCTCTGTAAAGTCGAATTCACAACAGAACCATCAGCTGATTCATTACACTGCAATTTTAAGGATGAGCCCATGTTAGCCTGGTAATCAGCATGATAAGGTACTCAGGTCTACGTCTTTTGGAGACCATGTTATCCTGGTAATCATCATGATAAGGTACTCAGGTCTATGTCTTTTGGAGACCATGTTATCCTGGTAATCAGCATGATAAGGTACTCAGGTCTATGTCTTTTGGAGACCATGTTATCCTGGTAATCAGCATGATAAGGTACTCAGGTCGGTATCGTTCAGAACCC